GTTTATCCAAAACAATGAAAATTGTAAATTTTTCTGAATTTATTGCAAGGGTAATCATTTTTTTAATCCTTTCTGTCCTGATAATGTCGCAATTTTTTTGTTAAATTTTCTTTGTCAGAATTGTAACAATTATGTGGGTTTTCATAATTGCCCTATGTTAGGTTTCTTTTTCTCGGGCCAGGTCTTATAAACCCTCAAAGAGAACTTAACACACCCAAGGATAGCTTAGCTATTACCTTTTGGGGGCATATAATAAGCAGGATGGCTTCTGCTGCAGTGTTAGAAACAAAAAAGGTTTAATAAAAGGCAAAATAACAAACAGAAAAACTCAAGCCAGGTAGAGAGGTCTGCCCCTGGTATAAACACTTCCCAAAAGCAGTTTAGTTCTTTTGTTCACTTCTTTTCTACCTGATGGGCCAGGCAGGACTTTTTGGCTTCTATCCAATTAGATGACCTCCAGTTTTTGGTAAAGTCTCTGAGGTCCTATGAGGTGGCTTTTCACCTAATCATTCAGAGAAACTTCTGGGCTTCTTTCCTTTTTTGTGGGACAGAGGCTAGTTTTGCCACTCTTGTCATTAGGAGGCACACTCCTACAGCCCTACAGAATATACTCTTCATAGATAGCAATGTGTGATGGTATTTTCACATAAAAAGTCTAAGCACGGGTATTCAGGATACTGCTAAGTTCCATTTCTTAGTTTTCATGCAGTAAAATATAATTTAAAATATTTCACTGCTGTAGTTTTTGTGGGGGTTTTTTAATACATTTTGTTATATATGTAAAAAACTTTCAGTGATAGAAATTCAGTGCTTTATTTTCTTGTCAAAGGAATAATACTGGGAAGAACAGCAAATCTAATCCATGTGTAATTTTGCAGCAGTACACACAATAAAGATATAAATAATGTGTTTTGCAGCTCCTTCTAAAATGCCATTTAGACTTTTTCTGACATTCCACTGTGCTCTGTCAGTTGATAACTTGGATTTCAGTCACTGCTGTTCAGGGAGATGCTGGGAAGAAAGAATTTGTTGATTACCAATATAAGTTCTAATCTGGGCAACAGGGATTAATGAAGTTTTTTAGCAGGTGACGTTACAAAATCCATCTTCATACTGAAGTCATAAATATAGTATTTTTGTGAACTTGTGTTGTGAAAGGGTGTGTCAAGTCAATATTTTACATGGCACACACTAAAAACCCCTCATGATTGTTATATGTGAATAGAATCTGTAGTGCTGTACCTGAGCCTCTAACCTTGCAGTTCTCATGAAACATCCTCTGTCGTACCATGGATAAGAACTGAGATGAAGTGGGTATGTTAGGGGATTCACTATTACTATTCCTGTGGTTAATTTGAAGAAAGTTTGGTTTTTTTCAGTAGCCAAAGTATGCAGAACATGTGAGAATCCATACACTTTACTAATAATTGCATTTGTTGGGGGAAATAGGAAGTTGGTGCATGGGTTTTTTTGTAAATTTCTCTTTTTTGGGCATGTGTGAAAGTTACCACAGCACTGCTGCACACCTTTATTTGGAGAACCGGGTGAGAAGATGTGCTATATGCACGCAAGTATTAGGGTAGTGTGCTTCTTGCATGTAGATTGAGTGCAGTCCAGCTGTGAGGTTCTCTTCAGTCTTGCACTCATTTTTTCTCTCCTGCTTGCTCGAGCCTTTAATTTTTCTTTCATGTCCAATTATTTCCTAAAAATTGCATGAACCACTGAACTCAAGACTACTGTTTTGATTCTTACAAGAATTTGGATATGAATCTGGATACGAAACTTTGCAGGCTACTCAGGAAGGAGTGTATGTTATTGACACTAATGTATTGTAATGTCTTATGTTTCAGAAAGGTTTAATATATCTGCCAGCAACAATCTGATTTTTGTTTTTTGTCTACTTAGCTCTATAAAGCGAAGATATTAATTAAACAAAGCATTGGTAAAAATCACTTCTTTCCCATGGCTTTATAGTGTTTTAAAGTACTTATTTCAACTTGTAATCCTCAAGTCCACCAATTGGTAGAGGATTACAAAGTGTACAAATTCATGGCCATTTCTTGCATTATTCTACTGCAGGTAAAGTATTCTTTTGGCTCTCAATGTCAGATAAAATGGAAATTATAACCATTTTACTCAAGGAAATTTTAATGGCTTTTATGTTAAATTAACTTGAAATATGGTCTATGAATATTGTGGCTGGACCTTTGTATTCATATACATGATCTGTATACTTACTGATGAAAAAGCAAGTTGAACTGAATCTCTGAACTGACTTCGCATTTGAACATATTTTTTATAATTTTGATTGCATTATTTTCTTTGTTAAGCTCTTGATTTCTAAAAGACTATGATGTTATGGATGTTTGCGACATAGAGCTGCCACAGCAAAACCAGGGATGATCACCCAGTTTGCTGAAAGTGTGGTATAGGAGCACCTACTCCATTCTTCATTTTTTGTCAAGGCATACAACTCCAGCCATTAACAGTTTTTTCTCCACATTTTTTTCTTAACTTATCCTACTGTAACTAATACATGCTACAGGTGTTTGTGGAAGAAGCAGGTTTTCAATCACTGAGACATTTTGGTCTGTGTGTTCTCAGTATCTCAGTTGTTTTATGTGTGCTCAAATACTACATGATATTTCACACATTATCTGATTTTTCCCTTTTGTCCCAGAGTTCTTTTTAGTGATAGCGTTGCAGTGCATTTTTCAGTTGAAAATCTTCTTGTTATCACTCTGAAAGTTCATGTGTGGGAACACCTGTATTTTTACCAGGACTATTTTATAGGTATATTTGTCTTTTAGTATTATGCTTGTGCATAGTATTTGTGTAAGTTGGTGCTTCTGTAAGTTTAGAAATTTCCTAAATAATATGATTGATGCTTAATACTAAGTTTACAGTAGCCACCTTGTTGAAATAGCTGTGCAGAGGTTTTGTCTATGGTCTGGTCTGATATCTTGGGAAGAACAGGCACTGCAGCATTAATTTGAGGTGCCATGGATATTAGCGCCTATGATACTAGTAATCACATAAATTATGAATGCTTCTCATACACTGAGGTCTTTTTCTAACCCCCTCTCTAAAATATGTCAATCTTTGTCTCATTTGACCATTTTCTATATACTTCTGCCATAGACAGTGCTTAGAAGTAGTAAGGGAACTTATTTGCTAGTTTTGTGCAAGGGAAAGAAGTAGTAGTTAGATTAAATGCTTTTATACTGAAAAAAATATTAATGAGATTCTTTGTTTCAAATAATATACTGATACTGAATTTTTATGGGAAAAATAGCAAAGGAACCCATGAAAACCATTATTTTAGATTATTATTTTTGCTGGGAGAATACTTGTTCCATCTTTATGTCTGGAAACAGTCAATAGCTAGCTCAGGGAAAGGAGATCTAGAAGATTTACAAACCTTTTTATAATGTGATATATTATCAATACTGAAATTTTTAGCTATTTGTTTAATTAAGTCAGTCTTCAGTGCTCAATGTGACTCTTCATTACTGTTCTTTTATTCTTAGTAACAGTAGCATAGCAAGTTTGTCTTGCTCAGCTTTCACCTGTTGCCTGCTTACTTGCATGCTAACATGAAGACAACACTGCAGTTGTTTTTAGAATGAATGGAAAATGATGGTATGTTGCAAGAAGTTTGTACCTATGCATTCATATGTTACAAGGCACCAAGGCGCTAATAATATGGCATGTGAGAAAGAATATCTAGAAGATTGAAATTTACTGAATTTCCTCTTTCTTTAAAAACCTCAATAAAAGTATAGTTTCATTTATGGTGAATAAATCCCTAGGCATGTAATGCTTTTGGTGCAGAAACACCCTCACTACCACATCCCTGTTGTGATTATATTTAGCATCTGTGCCTTATGGCAAATTAGCTAGAATTTAAAAATACAACAAGGGAAGGATATTGCTTTGATTATTTAAAAGTTGTTCAGTTAATAGGCTTCTTCATTTCACTTACAAGAAGATTAATATATCTGTGTTTGCCTCTGAATGTCAAGTTTTCTTGAATGAATCATGAATTTGTGGGAGGTCATTGATATCTTCTAACAAAATAACTTTAAAAATTCCAACAGCAGTATGAAACCATGGCATAGCATAAAGATGTATTAGAGGTTTAGATAAAAATTCCAAAGCAGGTAAAAGCTTTATATATACACTCAGGTCTATATACAAATACACAATAGCCAGTTTTATTAGCCATGAAACACATAAGAAGTATAGGAATAAACTTCTTAGCACAGCCTGTTGCATCAGGACAAGGTGCAATAATTTTGAAGTGAAGGAAGGTAGATTCAGACTAGTAAATAAATTCATAAATTCAGTGGGATTTTTTCTTATGCTCTGACTACAATTTTCTATAAGATACTACTCTTAGCAGCCTGAAATGCATGCACATGGATTGTGGAATAGATGTACAAAAATAATGAAGAGTGTAAATCTATTTCCTTAGTCTACATCTGCCCACATGTTATCAGAAACCTGGACTTTATCTCCTAGGAATATATTTGCTTTACAGTCTTCAGAACGTCTTTCTGAAGAATGTAGGACCACTTCTTAACCAATTACATAATGATTTTATTTTTTTTTTTCTGGGTAATTAGTCTTATCAGACAGGACTAGGTAATCAGTTGGTATTAAGTAATGCTGACTTAATTTTATGTCATTGGACATCTGGCATTAGCAGAAACTAATGGATAAAAAATTGCAGAATTAATGGAATGCTGTTTATATTAGGAGTGTGATAATGTGCAAATGTTTTGGAGGAGCCTATTCCAAGATTGCTTCTCACCATCCTTTGTTCAGCTTAAGTAAAATACTATGTATTGTCATACTTTTTTTACTGATATTATTTTCTTACATTACATTGAAATGGGCTTTCATGTTCCTTTTTAACTTTCCCTTCATGCACACATTTTTCTGAGTTAATATTTCATATTTGTTTTCATTTTTTCCATTAATTTCTTCCTCTTCAGGTGCAATCTAGCTCCTGTGGTGGAGTATTCTGCCGATGTGGGAACTAAATCTGATTTTATTACCATGAACCCATCAGTTGTACAAAGAGCATTTGGAGGCTTTCGGAATGAGAGTGACAGAGAAAAATTTGTGCGTAGACTATCCATGCTGAATGACAGTGTCCTTTGGATCCCAGCTTTCATGGTCAAAGGTGGAGAGAAGCATGTGGAGTGGGTTAATGCATTAATCCTTAAGAATAAATTGAAAGTGCGAACCGCCTATCCATCACTGAGACTTATTCATGCAGTCAGAGGGTAAGTGTATGGAAAAGACTGGTCTGTCCTCAGCACAATGAAATCATAACTAGAATTTCTAGCAAGCAGAAAAAAAATGAGTGTCAAAAGGAGCATGGTATTTTCCATATTGATGTAATAGATTGCATTTATGACAGGTTTGTTTGGTAATAGATGCTCGCCACTCATTTAGCCAGCTCTGCTGCAAACAACTGAAATGCATTTGCACAATAACTTTACCAAATGCGCTTTTATGTAAAAAAATGTATCATCATTTTGTGAAAAGTGAATCTTAAAAATAATCTGAATTCAGTGTATGATGAAAGTGCTACATGTCTTCTTTGGGAAACAATTGTGAAGATAAAAAATACAATCTAAACAGCATCAGGGGTAAGGAAGCAACCCTGTAAATAATGAAACCTGGCAGATCTGAAAGTACAGAGCTCCTTCATAAAATATCTGGGATTTGGAGCAAACTTTCTCCTTTTGAACTTGGCCAGATGCTTGGGCAATTCAAAAACATTGATCAGAATCACCAAAAATGTTAATGAAACCACTTATTAGAAAAAAGATGTATCCATGCTTTAAAAGCAGATATTTTTCTTTTTAACCCCATAATTAAACAAAACTGTCAGATGAAGTATCCAGTGTCTTTGTAACTACTATATATAGGCCTATGACTGAAAATATATAGGTCTATGCCTGAAAATCATTCAAAAGATGATGGTAATGCAGTGTGTTCGTACATCAAATTATGTCAGTATGGTAATATTCAGCTTGAGTTCCTTGAAATGTGCTGTTTGTGGGATGTAGGAAGATGCCTTAAAGTACTGCTATTGGCTTGTACACCATTAACTGATTGTGTAGCTGTACTTACTGTTACAGCAGCAGAGATAAGTCTAGAAGAGATGTTTGAACCTTTATCCAATGCAGTATGAAAGTAAAGCTTAGGCATAAATTATTCTTCAGGGTATTTTTCTGTGTCTCATAGATTAACTGCTGCATTCCCTCTGTGATGCACTTCTGGCACTGGAAAAAGATCTATTGCCTGTGAAATTAGGGAATTCTTCAGAAAACTAGTATTTTATTACTGAGTTACTCCATTTTATCAGACATTTAGACTTTAACTATTTATGGGCCATGATTGTGTTGAATTTTCCAGTATTCAAAATGTCTGTAGTATATAGTTATGGTTGTTTGTATGTGTATATAAAACTGTCTGAGATTGCTTCCAGTTTTCAAACAACAGTTTTAATTTCCATCTGCTAAATCTGGGTAAAATTATCAAATGTGAATGGTAATTCAGAATGTGCAGTCTTTAACTGGCCAGTTTGAAGGTCCTTTTGGGGGCTTTGTCTTAAAAAAAGTATTAGTACCTATATTGTCTCTCTGAATGAGGCAACAAAACTTCTGCCATCTGAATTGTTGTGTATTAAGTGGATTACGTGTATTTTAGATTATACCTAGCCGTGTCATCTGATATGACTGCATATATTTGTGCAGTTATTGAATTTGTGTTTTAAACTCCACAGTAAATTTAAATTGATATGAAGAGCTCTTTGATTTAATGACCCTAAAATTTTATTAAAATATGGAGATATGGTGAATTTTGGGCAAAATAATTTTATATCTAATAATCAATAAGGTTAATGATTCCAACCTGGCATGTTAAATACATATAGAGAATGTCTTAGGCTGAAGGGTGCAGGCTCAAGGTTTAAAAAGTGTTGTCCGTATTCCTTTTAATATGCATCAAACTGTCAAATTTTTCTTTCATTAACCTTTAAAGCATATGGTGTTAGGCACTTTCTAAGGGCAGAACATACATTTTCTTAGACTTCTGATATAGTGACGCCAAATTCTTTATTTCTAATGCAGTATAAAGTTATATTAGAGTTTTATCTAGTAACAGGTCAGTTTGGCTACAATCACAGCACTGCACTGAAATTCTCACTCCTGTTCTTCCTTCTTTTTTAATGAAAGAAACGTTATGAGCTGCACATAGTGTTCCAGAACTGCTATTGATCAGATAGTCTCTACTGAGAAGTTGACTGAATTCTGAGATAATTTTAAAAACTTTTTTTCTGTCCATTATGCACTTTTTGGGTTAAAAAGAAGGTATATGTGGTATTGGAAAAAGAAACTACTGTTTTGCTGATTTCATGGTTAATAAAGCTGCTGTGAGTGATGAATGCTTCTCTAGAATCTCAGAAAGAATTTAGGTTTTAAAACCAGATTATATACATACAAGGTCCAGCACAATAACTATTTTTTAAATTAGTAGTATCATAAATGGCCATTGTATTCAGATTTTTTTTTCTTCAATAGATTTAGTTCAAGTGGTTACCTGTGATCATTTTTCCTTTATTTTTCTTTTTCACTTCTTGATCAGTAAGTTTTGAATATGATATTTTGAAAGTGATTTGGGAGCCATTGCATGATTTTTTTCCCAGTGTAGTTGGTACATTAAGTGGAGGTCAGTTAACTCCCAGAGCCTTGCACAGATCTTTTGTTGTGTGTGTGTGCTTCTGCTGTTGAATATTTGAAGACGTCTGTTGAAGAGGCTGAACACCACCAACCCCTTGCCCTGACAAGCAACACAGATTCAAAATACACTAGTTTTCTGTGATGTTTTTGCTGGTATTTCCTCTCTTAAATTCACAAAACAAAGTTCTCACACTCATCTTGACGTGTAAGAATGTTTTCTTGGCTGCTCTTCCAATTGGAGCCAGTAGGAAACTGGATATTTTGAACTATTAGTCACTCAGCAACAGTATCACTGAAATTGCTTCACATTAGATTCCTTCTCATGTTTTGGGTATGGAACAATTGTGTGGAGATCCTGTGGGATTTGTCTGTGCTCTGTTTATTTCCTCTTTGATGCTGCCTGTGAAAGAACAGTATTATCCTGCATTAAACATGGCTGAACTCACACTGAAATCTCTGACTTTTGTCTATGTAAGGAGTATGCTGTACCTATTAATGGTCACTTTGAAGTGCAGGGTCTCTTTTTCTTTATTAGTCAAAACAAACAGCTATTCTTTGGATGCAGTGACCTTTTGTGCAACTTTACCACATCTTCAGAGTTCTTTACTCTGGGAGTTACAGAGGAAATACTTTCAGAAACTGAAACATGCAGAAATCAATTAGTTTTCCAGCAGCTCTGTATTGAGAAACAGCTACTGTGAGTTATTTATAAACACTTCTGTTTATTTTCTTCCTGACAACAGACTTCCCTCTTCAGTTAACTGCTAAAATGTATTTATTAAGAAAAGATGTTTTGGAATAGATGGATGAATAAATCACCTGAGGGAAAAAAATGGCCATTACACTGAAAACAGAATTCTAAATGTAAAATTACTGTGTCCTTTGCATCATGTATATAAATATTCAAAATACTGGGAAAAAAAATTCACACTAGCTACTTTTCAGTGGAGTACAGTCCTGGTTTTTTTATATATGTGGATGTTAAAAATAGGAGTTTTACATTATAAATACCCTTGTGCCCTAACCTAAGATATCCTTGGAACTGGCTTTAAGTTATACAAACAAATGGGAAGCCAGTTAGTTTGGATTTTAAGAACCTAATCTATTGTGTAAAGTTGTTCATCTAATCCCAATATCCAGTCCTATGCAGGGAGCAGGAAGTGATTTTGCTGACATGGCAACACTCCAGAGTTGATTTTTCAGTCTAGCAGCTGCTTTCTGGAGCAGCAACACCCGTGCATCTCTTAAAGATGTGCCCTAATCTTGTTTTAAAGTTTCACAGGATGAACTTTTATTTCCTTGGCACAAGTTCTTCTATTTTATCACATTTCTGAAAGATTTAGCAAGGTCTGTCAAGAGATATCACACTTTTTGAGAGTTTTCATTGGAGGCAAGGACAGTTGAAGTAGAGGACATGAAAGCAGAACTGACAATGCACTAAACTGCTTTTTTATATTTTTCACTCCCTGGTCCATTCTGCTAGGAAACCAAGATAAGTTTATAATGATAATAGGGATATTTCTATCCAGTTTTTAAAATTCTTATTTACCTTTTGACAATACACTTTTGTAAGTTTTTGTTTTGGGAGAACAGTTTTATCTCTTGCTGAGGCAACTGCTTTGTTCCTTTTCAGCAATGTTTATATAGCTAACACTTATAAAACTTACTCTTCCCAGATTGATTTCAGGTTTCAACTAGTGAGAGCAACAGAATTAGTCATAAGAAAGAGTAGGAATGAAATTTTCCATTTCCAAGTTTTGTTGTTTAGGTTATCTACCATGAGCAATAGTGCTCTAACTAATGCTAATGACTCCTAGGAGCTAAGCAGGGAGTAACACATTTTTTATTCATATAGTGTATCTGCAAATTTATATTTATTTGAAACCTATTTTGGTACTTACTGTATTATTTTTTTATTTCAGGTTGGTTTTTTTTATTTTCCCTTACATAAAACCTGTGTTTCTGAAAACCATATAAATGTGTTATGACTCCCATTTGATCATTTCATACTCCTGTAAAAAACGTGTAGCTGTGCAATGGAGAAGCAAACTAGAAACATTTTTTGTAGTCTAATTTTTGATGAACCAGTAACAGGACGGGAATCCACAGAGAGTGATGTTGGCCATGTAGTATTAATAGAATTGAGAATGCCTTGTCTTGGGATTATTTTTGACATATGAGATGAATTATCTTTTGCTTCTGGCTAGAACATGTATGCAAAAGAAAATTGTTAGGTTTCCTTCCTTTTTTTAAAGTGGTGCTTCCAAGATAAGGCAATAATAACCATTCAACTTTTTATTTTGATTGTAATGCCTTCCAAGAGTTTTTAAAGATGTTTGCATTTAATTTTAATCTTACTGATCTTCTGTGATGAGGAATGATTGTATTAAGCATCCAGCCATTAACAGATTTCTTCAAATGTTTAGTTAATTACTGAGGTGATGTGGAAATAAGTGAACAAAGCTATATGCACTGTATGGTTTGGCCTTTTGCTTTTGTCAATTCAAGTCATTGGGCTGTTAACATGAGTCGTG